CCACTTTCCAAGCGGCTATGACGACGGAGTTCCGACACATGCTGGATCGTTTCGTACTTATCTACCTCGACGACATTCTGGTTTACAGCCGGAGTCTGGACGAGCATGTGGAACACCTGCGCACCGTTTAAGAGCAGCTACGACAGGCCAAGTACAAAGCAAACCGCGACAAGTGCGAGTTCGCACAACAGGAGCTGGAGTACTTGGGACACTATGTGACGCCGCAAGGCATCCGTCCGCTTGCGGACAAGACCGAGGCCCTACGAGTATGGCCCGAGCCCACCAACACCACGGACGTTCGTTCATTCATGGGGTTGGCGGGCTACTATCAGCGATTCATCACCGGATACTCCAGGATTGTTGCGCCTATGACGAGGTTACAGTCGCCAAAGGTGCGATTCGTATTCGATGACGGCGCACGCCGGTTATTCAAAGCACTTAAGACGGCTATGCTCATGGCACCCGTCCTTAGTATCTATGACCCCACCCTGCCGACGCGAGTGACTACGGACGCTTCCGGCTATGGCATTGGGGCAGTCTTGGAACAACACGACGGCGACGACTGGCACCCTGTGGAGTATTTCAGCCACAAAGTGCCTCCCATCAACTCGCTTGATGATGCAAGGAAGAAGGAGCTGCTCGCATTCGTGATGGCTCTCAAGCGCTGGCGGCACTTCCTCCTTGGGCGTCGTAGGTTCACACGGGTCACAGACAGCAATCCATTGACCTACTACAAGATGCAGGACACGGTGAGCAGCACGATCGGACGATGGATGTACTTCATCGACCAATTTGACTTCACACCGAAACATGTCCCTGGCCTCTCCAATCGAGCAGCAGATGCACTCTCGCGAAGATGATCTTTGCGCGATGACACATCATGCCTTCGCATTCAACGAGGAGCTTTAACGACACTTCATCCAGGCATATCAGTCTGATCCGGACTTCGGCACGCTCTATGCACAGCTATCTTTGGATCACCCGCCAGCCGGCCATTACCGCATTGCCGACGGGTACTTGCTCCTCCACTCGAGAGGCAAGGACTTACTACGTGTCCCACGCGACCGTCGTCTTCGGACTCGCCTCCTYRGCGAGTATCATGATTCACGACTCGCCGGCCATTTCGRAGTCAACCGCACTATTGCACGGCTTCGACAGCGATTCCGATGGCCCGACCTCATTACCGATGTCACTCGGTATTGCGACTCTTGCGAAGTTTGCCGACGCAGCAARCCCCGCAACCGCAATCCCTACGGCGAGTTACACCCGATGGCTATCCCACGGGAACCCGGTCTCTCCATTGCCATGGACATCACCGGTCCGTTTCCTCGCGACCGGCTCGGGCACGACGGCATCCTCACGGTTGTGGACCGATTGAGTAAGTACGCGCGTTTTCTCCCTTGCAAGTACTACTCCACGACTCCCGAGCTGGCATGCCTCTTGCAACACTGGTTGGATTTGTGGTCACGGTGTACCAGAAGACATTGTAAGCGACCGCGACACTTGTTTCATGTCGGCGTTTTGGACTGCGCTCATGCAGAGGAGTCCGACACAACAATGAAACCAAGTTCGGCTCGACATCCTTAGACAGACGGGCAGACAGAGCGGGCACATCAAACCGCTCAAATGATGCTTCGTACGCTCATCCGTCCGGACCAAAAAGATTGGGTTGACCGCCTCCCTGACATCAAGTTCGCCTACAACACTTCGGTGCACCCGGCGATCGGCGTGACTCCATTCGAGTTGCACCACGGTGGACGGAAAGGCCGTATCTTCGCCGACCTTCTCCTCCCTCGACCAGCCGACATTGACGCTATCTGCTCTCCCGCTTCCGTCCGGAAGTACAGGGAATTGCTGACTCAAGCCCGCGCAAATATGCAAAAGGCTAAAGTCCGCATGCAGCAGCAAGCCAACAGGCGTCGC